ATAAATAGATGAATTTATTTAATAAACTTCTTTCCTGAATAAGGAGTAACCGAAGTTAAATACGACCATGCATACTTCAATAAGCAAGAAAAAATTGAGTAAAACCTATTTAATATGTAACATATGATACATACCAAAGCATGTATCGGAACATGATTGGCGATATAACCGCATATCTACGAATTCACCTAACTCAAGAACTCGCGAACTTACGTAAAATGTACTTGTGCCCTCTTCTCGCGTATAAAGTCCAAGTTCACTAAATTAGTATAAACCCGATGATTGCAATAAGCAAAGCCGATCCTATACTTTCGTAATTTAAAGCGATAAAGAATGAAGGCAAATTGTGTCAAAAGTCTCGTTATCTGTACTCAAAAGTAATTAACGATTTGATGGTTAATTTATCCGTTCTTATCGCGGGGATAAGATTGTTTGATCAACATCTCGATTAGGTATCGCTGCCCATAGATAAATCGTAATTGGTGTCACGGATCGATTTGGCATCGCCTCGTGTGTACATGTAAATAACGTTAATCATATTTTATCGATACCCTCTCCTCCTCTCTCCCCTGCTGCCGGTCACGAAATGACTGGAAATAATTGAATAGTCCAAAGTATCGGGGAATACGCGAGAAACGAAAAATGATAATCGTCCGATAATGTGGTATATCAGTGATATAATAAACAACTCTGTAGAGTCACCTGAAAGGTGCTCCAAACTGTAAGAACATTTTTCGATGGACTAACAAGAGCCATAATTCTATTGCGTGTTACTTTCAATTTTCTTGTTTTCAGCCGCGATAGGCTATCTCCGAAACTATTATAGAAGAAAACTTTTTAAGGAAAAACTTCATGCTTTTCTGAATATATATGCATAAAATCTGGCCCTAAATTTTGTACAAAATTATTTGTTTATAATAATATAGCCTATTGCAGCTGAAACTTTGGTTTAAAAATATTGTGTTTCTTATTCTTAAAGCTTTAAGGCAATGTATCAACAAACAAAAAGAAATCGATTTTTCTTTATTTCTGCAGTGGCCTTACCTTTTAAGATGCCTATCGATGTTCAATAAAGTAAAATTATAATTAGACTGCGGATGTTTATGCAAAATAAAATCTTCGCAAACATGCCTACAAAAAATCAACCTAAATAAGAAATTATTCTATTCTGCAAATATTATAACGAACTTTACTTTTAATCTTTTTTATATTCTTGCATATTGTTTGCATCTTGTAGGTTCTTGCACATTCGTATTTCATAATAATGAATCATAATAATGGCCATTAGTTGTCATCCTTGTTCCGAGGACAATATTTCCTCCCTTGGCTTTTATTTTTATTAACTTCTTTATAGACACGAAGCGTTACAATATTTGTTTCTTGCATTTTATTCTTCGGTCTCTCTACCGCTCCATTTTGCTCTTTTGATGCTTATCCAGGTCGTTTGCTGGTCCCCGATTCTTCCCTTCCATTTTGTCTTACCCCTAACCTCATCCAGGTTCGGACTCTCTTGCCCTTCGGCTCTCGGCTCGAGTTCTATGCCGTAATTAGAATCTCCCTGCCCCTATGTGGCCGCACCGCCGAGTTCGGCCCTCATCGGCCATTACTTTTAATGGCGTTGTTAATGAAACTAGGTGTCGCCAAATTAACCTCTCGTTTCAGCAACGCTCAACCGAAATCAGAAGGTTGCGATAGTTTATTAATTTAATATCTAGGCACGCCATAACGTAAACAATAATTAAACGCGCTCCGAATATTCTAATAAAAACACAGGAAAGACTAGCAACTCCAATTTGAGGATTTGCATCACAATAAATTAATGAAAGTATACAAGATTCCGTTAACGAAACTTAATTGGTTTTTTTAAATCTTTCTCCCCACTTGCGAACAAATTATTTACTATTTATAATGTCCTTTGTCCATCGAGAGACTTTCGTAAATGAATAAATTATCTGAGTTTGGTGAAATCGAATTTGATTTAAGATATAATATTTAAAGTCATTCGTTTACAATAGTCGCTAAAACCAGGATTAGGTACCTTATAATAAAAAAGTAAATTAAGTAATTAAATAATGAAATGTTAATCCAGGAGAGGAGTCTTAAATTTTGTTTTCGTAAATTTTGTTCAAATCAAATTGTAACATATTCGAGTAGAAAGATTTTCTTGGTAGCCTCATCCTCTCGTGAAAGGGTATTATTTAACCATTCCACTCTAATGGAACACCCTGTATATTTATTCAATTCAACCCCTTCAGGGACAATTTTTCTTCGCGCTTTTCTTATATCTCTAACTGTACCTCGGAAATAACATTACAGTACAGCCAAACTATAAATTTTGTATTCCTCTTGTTGAAGGATTCTGTAGTTAATGAGTTAATAAAAAACTAAACAATAATAACTAGACCGAGAATGTTTATACATTCATGTGAAATGAAAACATGGTAAGATTTCAGAGAACGTGCACAAATTCAAAAATATATAAGAAGTTTCATTTAAATTTTAATTCTTAATTCACGAATGAAATATGTGTAACAAATATATGAACTGAATATGAACATTAAAAATGTGAATTAAATATGAGTAACGAAGATACGAATTATATAAAAATATGAATATAAATAAACATCCGTAGTATAATAGTAACCTGGATAAATCGTTAATCGCAAAAAAAAAAATAGTTCCGCTTTGTGCCGTGCCCATTACGTGTATTATACAATCCATGTCCTCGGTAATTATAGCGTCGGTTGAGATCATGCAATCCAAGATTGAAACTCCGAAAAGAAACAAAGTTTAACGAAACGTGTTCATTGATAATCGAAGAAAGATCGAACGCGATGAAAAGGGGTGAGAGCGCGAGAAGCGACCTCAAAAGGGGTGAAACAGCTTGGAGCGAGTACGCTGTGTTTGAAAACCACTGGCACCGGCTGATTACCGCGGTAACCACCCCCCGAGCGCCAATTAATCTTAACTTTTACGGGGCAAACACTTTTCATTAAGCCCCGGTCCTGCCTCCAACCGGAGTCGAGTTATCCCCACTCTGTTGCAACTTTAGCCACCCTTGCCTACTCGCCTTTTTTCCACCCCTTCTCCTCCGGAGCACGGCTGGCTCTTCGCACTCATCCTCTTCCGTGGACGGCGAGGAACGGCAAGGAAAATGGTTCCCCAGACAAGCGTTTAATCTGGCTCTAATTAGCAACTTACCCTCCGCCCCCGTTTCAACGTTTCACCTAGTCCCACCCCCCTCGTTTCCCGCAGTTTCTCCCTTCCCCTTCATCCCTAGGCCGCTGCCAAGCCTTTCCCCGGATCGAGAGTGGGGTTGCAATCCTCCAACCCCCCGCCCCTTGGCCAAAGTTGCCGGGGATGTCCACCCCATTCCTGCTATCCGACCATTTAACCGTTGATCTAGCCGCAATGCAACCAACCTGTCTTTTAGGTTGTCATCGTTGGATACCGTCAACGAACTGACCAATTAACGTTTCGTTACGAAAGACTGTTGCGCCGAACGTGATAGTTCGATCAGCAAGTTGTCAGGAAGCGATGGTATTTGCAAATCTAGGTGACGCATTGAACACGATATTTGGATACCTAGTAATTAGTAATAATTAGTAATTGTCTCTCTGGATCCGTTTTAAGGTTCGTGATAATCAGTTTAGGTACGAATATCCGGCCACGAGTCTCGCACGTGGTTGTGGCTTAAGGGGTTAAAGTGGGGAGAATGGAGGATGGAAACTTGCGTGGTGTGTTTCATATTTCCTCTGCTCACGTGGTTTCAATTTACAAGTCAAATTTATTTTGCTTGTGTGGTCTGTAGATTCCTGGACGTCATGTAATATATAGTGTACGCCTAGAAGCTGATTTTCTACAACATGTTTCTGGCAAGTAATCTACCCGCGGAATGAAATTGCTTCATGCATACCTTGTGAAGGTCAGCTCTCTCGATACATCGCTCTCGATACATTCCCTTTCTTATCGACAGAACATTACTCCAGGGTTCATTAATTGTTAGTCCGAATAAACGAACTATTTAACTCGTTACGTACTTCGATAACTCTTTTAATCATTTATTTTTCAAAGATATGTGTATCGCGTGAGACGATTCCTAATAATCGACTGCTGTTAAGTTAGAAAACTTTCTTCGATTAGGCAAATACCTTGATCTTAGTACGATTCTACTAGGTTATCGATGCAAGTATAGCTATACGACTGTATCGGGGCCGAAAACAAAAACAGATGCGATATAAATATAATTTGTAATAATTATAGACCATTTTACAATTGTATATGCGTAGTTGTCCCTGAACGAACAGGACCCGCCATAAGTTCAGAGACGCGTAAAGAATGTAAACATCTCAGTGATCGAGTAATAAACAATTTTCAGTACGAAAGTTTCAATCGCAGCATACATCAATCGTTCGAATAAACGCAATATATATAAAGTTGTTTCAAAGTCAGTTTTGGAACGATGAAACTAGGAGTTCCGCTTCGACGAGTCCAATTAACAAGAAAACATTGATTATGCATCGTAATTGCGCGAGAAGAGTGCAATTGGCTCCGCCCACAAAACGTATCGTTATGCACGAAGCTCAAGCACTCTTCTCGCGCTCAATCGGTAGATAAACGACTGCATCATTTTTTCTTTTAATCCAAATACAAGAACAATCGCATTCACTCGATATTACGATTTCTCGACAACTACTTAAGTACATACGATAACTACATTAACATTATTGCTATTATCATTGTCGTTATTACCTTTCTTGTCGTTTTTATATTACACGTAGTCGGCGTTCCGAAACGTTCTATATATAATAATGTCATATTATTATATACATCGATGCACGTAATATTAATTACATGTATAATTAATTGTTACGAATAACAATGCATTACGCGCATACGATTTACGGAGTCGTATAACAAATCAGTCGTGAGAAACTTTGGTAGTTACGCGTACTGTTTTGTATCGCCGTTTCGTCAACGTTGCCATTAGCGCATCCATCTTTTTCTTCTTCTAGTTTAGCCTTGAGATAGTGCTTAACTCATCACCTTGTCGATCCAAGGCACGAATTTCTGTATATTTGTGTAGACGCCTGGCAGATGCTCACGACCACATCCAATGCCCCAGGACACGAGACCGATTAGCACGTGTCTTCCTTCAACGGACATGGTCAAAGGACCCCCAGAGTCTCCCTATAGGAATGTTAATTATTAATTATTTAGTACGTTGTAATTCGTAGATTCGAGTCGTTAAACTAAGTAATGATATAAATATTTGTTGTTTAGGGTTCTTAGTGATTGATGAAACTAATGAAGTTTCGTTTCTTAACACTTTACCGATCGGTAGGCGATTAATCGACTTCTTGTCTCGAATTCTTAACGACCGATGTAGGATGTTGAACCGCTACCGGTCGGTAAAGCGTTGTTGAATCTCTGTTTATGTTGATTATCTATTTAGATTGTACAATTTGGGAAAACAAATAGGACTTTTAATGTACTTTTTAATACTACACACAAGTTGATGTTAGCCTACATTGATATATTAATATACAGTAATATATGTATAAATATGTAACTAATATATATTTATAGATATTCTAACTGATATTAATATATAAAATTGTCTAAAAAAGATTGTTTTTCATTTCCTCAGCCAGAATGAAGCATATTTCGTTAGATAGCATATAGGAACAGCTTTTATTATCTATAAAGAAAACATTCCTAAAGAAAAGAAGAAGATTTTGAAAAGAGCTGAAAAACGGCGTGATCCAACCAAACCTTAAAGTTATTTCGTATCGGAAGGTGTCTAGGTTAGACGAGTGTCGAAACACCTGAGCAATTTCTTTCCAATAAAAAGTTTTCTCGCACGTTCCTGTCTTACATGTTCGGTAACGCGTCGATTACTGAAGCGTTCGCCATATAAGCTCGTCGAAAGTAATCGCTTTACCTGACAGGAATCCCGTCCACCCTCTTTATAGCCGGCGCATAGAAAGACGTCGTGAATGGTCTCCCGTCTTCCGGCCGCTCTGAACCATCTTTGGCATCTTTCGTTAGGGATCACCTGAAAAAATTCACTTGTTCAACAGTCCGTCTCGCTTTCGCTCGCGTACTACTTATCGCGAAGCCTCGTGCAATCGAAATATGAAAGTGTAGGAAAGATAGAAGAAAGCGAAAGGTAACACGCTCCAACGGTGTACGCATGTATTTAGTACGCACCTCGACGTTCACTTCTTGAAGAACCGTCGGTGCTGAACTTTGCCCGTGTCTGGTTCTCCCCCAGCCAGCTACCGTTGCTGTTCGGCCAGAAAGTTTCAGATTTTTCGCTGGCAGGCAAACGGGAACGATATGCTGTTTGAACGACACCGTTCGCGATAGCTTTATCAACGCCACGTCGTTACGGAAATCAGTCGCGGAATACTGGGGATGAACCTGTAATTTATTTGCTCGTGCATTTAACTGCGTACTTAATTATTGTAAGAAATTATACAGTTGATATGCATCGAATTCGGTAATTAAAATTTGTCTTCGAAATTAAGAAGAGAAATTTGAATACACATTTTTGTTTAAATTTGATTTGTTGGTCGCTAGTAATTGCAGTTACAGAGTTATACGCATTAACTCCTAGGTTATTAACGACAGGAATATTGAAATTTACTTATATTATTTTATTAATAATATTAGTTCCTTTGATAAACTGAAAGACAATAAATGTCATCGAGTCTCTTGTATAAATAATGCGACAGTCACAGCGTCGACGAATGCCTTCTTCGTAAACCTTCTGTTTGAAACGAGTGCCACTTACCTCTTTCCTTTCGATATTAAATTCTTCGTGTAACAATCGCTCAGCCGCGTCCCTCACGTCCCACTCACCAAGACGCACTTTTAAATTGTTGTTTGGTGTCCTACACGAAATAAGCATTAGTCGTCGTAGGAAAAAGTTGTTTTTTAATTTACGTACACAAGACTGACTCAACATATATATATATATAGCTGAGACGATTCTGAACCACAATTTTCTTTGCCGAAATTACGAATGTTGCTTTGTTTTCGAATTATTAACGAAAACTCACGAATCACAGCGTCCGAGCAGCCTGCGCTCAGCCGCGATCAGTGGATCGAGCTAGGACGCTCAGCCATGATCAGTAGTTTGAGCCAGGACGGTCAGCCGCAATAAGTAGCTTGAGCCAGAACGCTCAGCCGTGATCAGTAGTTCGAGTCAGCACGCTCAGCCCAGCCCAGCGTCTCGCGGCTGAGCGCGGGCTACTCGGTCGCTGTGATTAGTCCATGATTTTTCGTTAACGATTCAAAGACGAAGCGCCATCCGACATTTTTCCAAAGGAAATTGTGGTTCAGAATCGTCTCAGCTACCCCCCATTTCCGGTTCTTACACTAATTCTAGGACACGTTGTATCTATGTTGACTTTCTATAGTCAGCCAAGCTGTCTGAACCTACTACTCGAGGACGTATATATACGTTCTTCGTGGTAAAAACCTTTTACTAAAAAGTTTAACCTATAATGCTATCGGTACATCAGGAGAAACCCTAATTGGGCACTATTTAGCTACAGGATACTTACGTTGCCACGCAATGAGCCGCAGTCACCACCCATCTGTTGTTCAGCAACGCACCACCGCACGACAACTTCTTCGAAAGGAATCCCGACTTGATTATGGCGGCCTGAAAGTCGAGGATAAATCGTAGAAATTGAATACCAGCAACGAAGCCAAAAATGCTGATGAAAATGGCCGATGTCAAGGGAAACTTGAACTTTCGTTAGCTCACCTGCCATGGATGACTGCCAAAACTGGAGCTGTGTCCACCAACGATTCTGTTACTTCTCGTGTAAAGTTCACCGCAACCTGTAAACCATCGGGGAAAGAGGTAAAAGATCGTTTTTAACAGATTGTTGTTTGTTTATATTGTTCTCATTTTTTAGAATTATAGTACACTATGGTAGTAGTCACCAACCTTGAAGAGTATCGAAATTAGGGTGTGAATTTGACAATTTTCAGTAAGTTCCTCGTTGAAATGTCATATAAAATCAAACTGAAAATAATTATTTAGTTGCTATGTGTAGGTATACAAAATAGAAATTTGATAAAATTCCACTACTACTACTATTTAGTTTGCAATTTAAGCGAAATTTGATAATACTCGTCACTATCGTCGTGTTCATTTATAAAGCTGTTTCTATATTTGTTTCTCATCGTTTCCATAAGTGAACAAGAACTATATTTAAATGTTTATTTTTAGGGATAAAGGACTACAAGATTTTGCTTGAAACTAGAGCGTGATATCAGGAGAGTTTTACAACAAGATTATTAGTTTCTTCTTTCTTCCGATTCGAAAATTGACACAAACGATTGGATTCGTAGCTGCGAGCGACAAGGTGGCGACCACTGCGTTATAGTGTACGTTAAACCGTGCGTACAACTAAAGAAAGACATAAGCAATGATTTTGTTAACATCGACCAAGTAGCAGTGTCAATAAAGGATTTTCCAAAAGGAGCCCTGAATTTCAAAAATTTCTCTATCGGCATGGCTGTGATAAACACGTAGGCAACATAATCCTTCACGTTTAATTGTAATCGTGTATAACTTTTATAAAATGGTATTTCATTAGGTAGTCATTTTCTAGGTTGGAAACTTATTAAAGGTCTTTAAAATATGTAGACTTTCTCTTATTTAAAGTATGTCAAGTACTTTGGGTCCAAAAGAAATCATGAAAATTGCGCCGAAATTGATAAATGAAAGAGTAAACCCTTAAAATCAAAAGGTCAGATATATTCCATATCGTTTGTGTTTGATTAGAAAAGCCCTCAAGGGCTGTAGCTATGTTTGTTTGCAAATATAGCTACAGTACGGGTTTAGCATTCCCGAGGTACCTGAGCTACCACTGAAATATACTGATACCAGTACTACTAAGCAAGTAGTAAGAAACTATACTAATACTAGCATAGTAGTATTAGTATCAGTATATTTCAGTGGGCCCCAACAGACTGCTATCATCCTTAATGGAAGAATTATAAAGAGAACTAGTCGATACGAAATGCGACGCATCGAGGCAGCAAAGAGTAAAACGTTCCATACGCGATACGATCTGTCATACGACTTGTCGTACGACAAATCGCGTCGTATATGGAGCGTTCAACAAAGGACGATTTTCGGCGATCGGCAGTTAATCGAGATTGAACTAAGGTCGAGGTGATGCATTTCCCCACAAAAAAAATGGCGACACGCAGTCATTTTAATTCGAGAAACCCCTCCAGTCCCTCCAGACATAAGCAAACACAAATGCAAATGCAAATCAAGAATTAATGTCAGTAAAGAAGGAACAAATGCAAAACTGGTACATTGGATGTCAATAGTCAAATTATATGACTTTGGACCTTCATTCGTTTAAAAAAAAAATCCTAAAGCCCCTTTTGGATAATCCTTCGGAGTGTCGTGTGTTTGACGTGAATAGATCGAGCAGCGTGTTATTCGACGTCAATAATTCAGTGCAAACACTCCCTAAAGTTGAAATTTTTTGCTAGGGTTGCCATAGTCTCTTTTCCTTTTCCAGCTCGTTCGGTTCCTCTATTCCTCTGTTTCCTTTACAACTGTCGTATCGTCGCGACGGTGTAGCCTCTTTGGAAAATGTGCAAAGTGCCAAAGACAGAAGGGAAGGGAGATGCCATGCGAGACGTGTCTTCCTTTCACCGCTGATAACGAGTCTATTCGGTTCGTCGCTCATCCTTCTGTATTTCAGAGTCAATCTTTAAACATCGCCAGCAATCGTATGTGTAGCGAAAAGGATCGAATAAACTACGGAGATGGTACGGTACTTTTAAGCAATAAAAATTCACCGTGCACCTTTTTCGTCCGAGGAAAATTTCTTTTTCGATGAAATGTTTTGTGGGGATCAATTCACTCCAAATCGATCACTATTGTGCTCGGTTTCAGTCAGATTTAAATATGTTGCAGTGTGTGAGAAAGTAACAATTGTAAAATTATTGAACATTTTATGGAAATAATTATGTTAAATATTCAAAAATCACAAAACGTATTTGTAAAATGTTTAGGTTTGTTTCGGTAGTTAACAGCAAAAGAATTAATTTATTATTTCTTTTTCGTTGGATGCGAATGATTAATGTCCATTAATCGTAAAATACCAACATGTTAATAACAATAAGTTATCCTATAAAAAAATTAATTACGGTGTTTAGATTACTTAGATTAATAGGTTTTCCTTATTTAAGAGAATTTTATTCAAAAGATTTACTTATTAAAATTTCAATAAATCATAAATTGAGAATTATATTTATTTATATATATTTTTTTCTATATTATTAACTATTACGTATAGAATTCGATTAATTATATTTCTAATATAATTTTAAATCGAATTTTACACTCGCAATTGGTTTGTTTTTAATATTTGGCTGTATATATGTTACCATTGCATAATGTTCTTTTGAACAAAAATTAAAAAAATAAACGTCACCCGTTAAAATTGTTTCAAATAATAAATACATTGGCATTTTTTTCAATTTAATTTGGAAAATCAGGCTTCTATGGATTGACGACTGCGAAGAACATTGTAAACATTGGTTATAAGTGCGTATTTTTCTATCAATTTCAATATTCTCAAAACGACGACTACCATCTCCATTTTCGAACAAACTGCAACACATTTGAATTTGAAAATCGAATCGTTAAATCTCCGACGTCGAAATCAAAAATGATTTGACTTCTGGAGTCCAAATCGAAATTATTTTTGTGTTGTCGAATGTATATGTTCAATGTATAATAAATCCCAGCGAACAGATTCTTCCGTATTGTTTTCGAAAAAAAAAAAAAGTTGTCGAAAATGATCTTCACGCGTCCAAGATGGCTTCCCCTTAATCAATAATTGCGATTAGCTGTGGTAATTGAAAATGGTGCCGCTATTGGTGCAATAATTTCTATCTGGTGCGACTTCATGCGGATTACCACGATATTTGGAATAATCCACGGAGTTCGAGACATCCTCGACCGGCTTGTGAATTCCCTGCGCGTCAGGATAATCAGGCTCGTATTCGTCCTGAGGATAATCGAGCTGTATCGGATGGTAAAACGGCGGCCGTGTCGTGTACGAGGGCCGTTCGTAATTCCAGGTCTGCGACGATTCGTAAACGGTCGTCGGCTTGTTCGAAACGTCCGCGAACAGGTACGTTGGCCGGTGCTCGTTCTGGCCGCCGTAATTGCTCGGTTTGCTAGGCCTAGCCAGGTTCTCGTAGATTTGTACGTCGTCGTCCAGATACGGATGTTGGTTTCCCAAGTTTAGCGAAAGTGCTACACGTTTAAACAACCACGATTTTACCTTTTCCGCTGTTGCCAATTACAATTATCACCACATTTAGCGCGCGCATATCGCGTGTACGCCTAATTACTCTCGTTACGTGGTTATATTTTGTCCACTCGACTTCGTCCATTCTCATACCCAACAACAACTCCATCGTTTCTCAACGCGGACGATATTCGTTTCCCGATGGGTGATCGCCTGATTATTTGATTTTTGGGAACGACGGTCATTTAGCGTGAGCAAATCGTACGTTAAAGTTTTAATTAGGACATTTCCAACTTTATATTTAATCGAATAGGGTTTCGGTGCTGCGTCCGAAAGTCTGATTAACACATTGGCTGGCAAACTAAAATTCGTGAAAATTTCTACAAAGTTAACATTTCGTCTGGAGACTATTCGAGATTAGATAATTTAAAATGTATCGCAGTATTTAATTTTCTAACGTCGTCAATTTCACGAATCCTCTCCAGATTCATTTTTATTATTGCCTCATTCTTTGGAATTAATTTCTTGTAGTTCAGCAATGAAAAGTCCTGTAGCGACAACGTGTTAAGCAAAGATATAAGGTGTTAAGCAAAGGAAACAAGGTGACTCAAAAATAAGCCACTGTAGCCACATGAATTGTTTATTTCTTTTGTTTTGGATAAGTGGGTTACGAGATAACTTATGGTTAACGTCTCAATACGTACTTTTCGTAGCGTTACTTTCACAGGCGGTTTTCTCGGAATATTAATAACAAATTTTGTTTACCTTTTGCGATATGCATTATTACATACAAAATCATATTTTTAGTTACCTTTTTGAGACATTTACACTCAAAATTAAAACCATGTATTATTGAGCTTTGGAAACATCACCAACCTCAAGGTTTTCATTAAATTAGGATAAAATTGTAGTAAATATTTGATTCTCATACAGGGTGTCCAGACACACGCTAATTAAAATTCGGGTAAATATATTAAAGCTTAATAAATTTGTCTTGAAAAGCACTATCGCAAACCAAGCAAAAAAATTACTCAACGGATGGGAAAGAAAATGAATCTGACGATAACTCACTGGCGTTCTGCAGTAATCCAACGGTGGGTCGTGGTATCTTTTCAGGGATGTCGTCGTCGTCGACGCAGCAGCTCCAAATTAGTCCTCCGGAGCAGAGGTCGACTGGACGACCGCCACCGAGAACGCAACTGATGCTAAGACCGCAATCAAACGTCGCTCCTTTGTATGAACATGTCTGTGGTATCACTGAAACATAACGATTATCGATGTAGGTGTACCATTCTCAAAAGAACTTTTTCTCGAACAAAATTAGATAGATATAAATGAGATAGGCGCATACGTTTGATCCAATCGTGTAAAGCTATACATGAGCATTCTTAGATTATTGATATTAAGATGAGAGGAGGCTATCTAAAACATGTTTTCACAAAAGTTATTTGGTACAACGGGGTACATTATGCATTGCAGCATATAGCAAAAATAAATATTTCAAGGAAAATAATGAAGAATTTTAAATGATCGAGATATCCTTTTTGTAAGGACACAAAGTAGATTCGTAATATTGTAAGTAAACAAATTATTTGTAATCATTGTTGGTATTTATAATTCTCTTAACATCATTAGGGGTCGAAATAAACAGTCAAGTGTTGCTAGGGAAACCAATATGTCAACGCATGTTAGTCGATATTCGAACTTGCTAAATAACACTCATCAAATGCAAGTAACACCACTTTATTGCTATTTTGACAAATAGATCTTTATAAATTTGATTTAGTAAAAGTAAAAAATTATGTTGAGTCCATTTCGTCTGAATTGAAATAAAATTTCTTATGAATATTGACCAAAATTATATCCTTAAAGGACGAATGGGTCCTAGACGTTCCATGTTATAAATCGAGTTTCTAGGGCTATTTTCAAAGTTCCATCGGTAGAATGTTATTCGCAGGACAAAATTTTTCACACGGGAAAGATGAGCCGTCGGTGAAGAGCTAAGAAGTGGATGCTCGGTCCACGATAGTTGAGAAACACTATTTCACGCTATAAAATTAGTAATCATCCGCGTCACGCGTAGTTTGAATTTTTCTATACATTATTCTGTGCACGTAATGCGCCTTGTCGTGTCGTGTCTCTTCGAGTCTTGTTGCTTCGAGACGTATTTCGCTTCGCGTGGCGTTGCGCCCTGTCATATTTAGTCGTGTCGTGTCGTCACGCAGCACCGCGTTGCTCTTTTTCGGTCTGTTTGCTGGGATAAATACCGGAGTGCTTTCGTTTCGAACCCCTGGTTTTGTAAGTGAAATCGCCAACTCAACGCAGAACGACGAGATCGAGCACGAAAGTCAAGCCGTGCAGATCACCGAGCCTTCCCAAATTGCCAACGGATGTCTCACAATTAGAGCACCATTTCCCAAACTTGCTTGACCCGGAACACTTTCCACCTCACCTTTCACGGAACACTGACATTCCTTTGTGGCCATTTAGACCTTTGTGTGCACACGTTGTCGTCCCATATAAGATCAAAATAGAATTGTACGAATACGTGGCTATTTGGATTTTCATGTATCTAGTTTATCATCCAAAGTAGAACTAGCATAAAACTATGCGTACGAGAACATGTAATGTGTATTAATTATGAATTGATGCAGCATTTCAATTAAGAAAATATGTAATAAAGTTACATATGGGCCATTCCATGCTATTCCGACCACTTTTAGATCCAGACATTTTTGATTTAGCTGAAATTTTTGTATATTATAGTACCCAACTGAATACCTTTTTGTGAATTTTTGCAGATTTTTGTACCGAACCAAAAAAAAGTTATGCATTTAAAAAAAGATGTTTTCTTTTCAAATAGCTATAGCTCTGCCAAAACTTGACCAAATTAGACGGATTTTATTTCGAAATGTGCGTTTTTGAATGAACTTTACGAAAAAAAAAAAATATGAAACAAAATATTTAAATTCATCTTTTAAAAAAGTTTTTGATTTTCGAAAAGAACACGTAAATTTCTCATATTTCGACACTTTTAATTTTTTCCTTTTTTCCCTTAAAGAAAGAAACTGATTATTTTTCCTATTTTATGACGCAATTCATAACTTTTTTTTGGTTCAGTACAAAAATCTACAACAATTCACAAAAAGATATTTAGTAGGATACTATAATATACAAAAATTTCAGCCAAGTAAAAAATCGGATAGTCTAAAAGTGTTCGAAATGGCTTGGAATACCCTATTGATATTTGACAACACATATCTTAAAAAGAAACGAAAATTTTTGTTCGTGTCATATATAGTATAATAAAATGTTATATAATATTGAATATAAACTTAACAAGTAGTAAATATGTGTTAAAAGGTGACCAACCTAGCACTCAGTCTGCCAGGAGCATTGTACTCGAGCCTTTACAAGCAATAATAAATAATAATGGTAATATTATAGTATATTATATGACACAACAAAAATTTTTGTTTACCTTTTACGATACTTATTATTATATTGTATTGTATTGTATCGTTTTTGGTCTTTCAAGTTTCCTAAGAAACCATCTCTTTTCACACTAAAATGTATCCATAATTTTGTCTCGAAATGCATATAATGACCACATGAAAGTAATATTAGGGTGAGCCAAAAGTTTCAGTTTGTACAATTTTTTGAAGTCATTAAAATTCTTTTATATGCAAGTGTTATATATCATTCTGTAGCTTTTGAAATGCCCTTTCATATTTAATTATTAGCTACATTAATTTATTAATCGTTTAATTTTTTCTCGTTCTGTAAAATCATTGAAAAGTTTGAGATTCGAGTACCTTTACGTCACTGGAAGCAAGAGTTTAAAGCTACCGAATATAATATTTTCTTTGCTGCTTCAGTAGCTTTAAACTTTTCCAGTAGTGACGTAGAAGTACTCGAATCTCGAAATTTTCCATGATTTTACTACAACGAACAAATATTAAACCACCAATAAATTGATGTAGAAAAGTTAATGTAGCTAATAATTAAACACGAAAGAGCTTTTCAAAAGCTACAAAATGATATATAACACTCCCATATAAAGTGATCTTTAATGACTTCAAAAAATTTCACAAACAGAAACAACATAAAATACGCACGAATGTTTCCTTCGCCCTAATACAAACCACGAATGTGGAAACTTATTTATAATAACTCTATTTTTTGAATCATCGGTTGCAGTTTTCGAGTGACACTAGTTCACACCACACGAAACATCAGCATTCCGCAAAAACATAGTTCAGGAACGAAGATTCAATGTTCGATCAATCGTCTTCATCGTACATATTATATTCTCATAAACAATATCCATCTTTAATCCAAAACTTGTTAACACGAGACGTACTTCTACCCAGCATGTCCATGATGCTGTTATGAAGATTGTTGTTGTGACCGCGATGATCCCCAGTGTAATTTCGTTTCTTCCTCAGGGCTTCGACCAGCAGCGTGCCCTGTTCTTGGCTGTTAAACTTCCGTCTTCTTCCTTGCCTGTAATCGGTCATCACTTTTTCCAGTTCACCCCTGACCATTCGTTTCTTCAATTGATCCAGAAACCCTTGCACGTCATTTTTTTCGCGAACATCCTCCGGATACCTGTCGTCAAGGTTCCCTTCCACCGGAGCGTTTGTCGCATCCGATATCATCAAATCGTGGCTTCCGGTGTCTATCCCATCCGCGCGATCCCCGGCGATTTTTCTTCTTCGGCGTCCGTCTTCGACAACCGCGATATCCTCCAACGAGCTCTTTGCGCCTAGGAAGCTCAACGTCCCTCTCGGATCTCCGTTTCCAACGAACGACACCCGAGAGACAGCGTTTCGCGAGTTCTCATCGTTCCAGCGATTTTCAGTCCAGGATTCCCTCCTCTTGGGAATCGATCGATCCTCATTGTCGATCTCTCGCACTGACACGCCAAATTGCGCCCTCCTGACGAACGAGTCACCTACAGCTCGACTGTTCTCCAATCGTTTCGCTTCTCTGGGCTTCCTAGCAGCCGGATCGCGAACTCGGGACTTCTTAGGGGCTTGGTCTTCCATGTGGTCTAACCGAATGTCGCTGGACAGCAATTTCTGCGTTCCCTCGGCGACGGAAGGCTTCTTCGTCGCGGAGAACCAACCATGGAACATCGACACTGACGATGAGGAGAACGGATGATCCTGGCTCGCTGCGTCGTAATCGTTGTAATTGAACGCGTTTACGGTCGTGATTAGAAGCACGTGCGCGATGACGATGACATTCATGATCTGATTTGATGTGTATCACTCGAACGAACTAGACTGAAGCCAATCGGCGGTCAACGCTTCGAACCATAGTCTTCCGCTGTCAGAAATCCTCGAGCTTCATCGGGGACCGAAATCTTTCCTCGGCGATGGTAATAGATTCGCGATGTTCCTCGGGAAACACGCGGTTATTCGTGCATTCGGCATTTTATCCTCGCTCGATCGATCTCGATTACGATCATCAAGGATCGCACGTGACGTTCCAGCCAGTCAAGGTTGATCCGATCGATGAACACTCGCGTCAGTCCTGTTCGGGGGCGATTCGATTAGATAGAAGAAATTTTGAATAACGCGTTCGATGATCGCGAGTTGCGCGCGCGCACGCATCTAGCTGCCTTTGCTCGCGATCGTCTTGGAAACGGTCCTCCACGTGGACTAACACGAATGTCGTGTTTCGACGACTGACAAGACCCGACCGGCATCCAAAGAGGCGCTGCTTTCACCGACATCGGTAGCTTTCCCATCGCCGACATCGTGTCTCCTATACGTTGCCTCCCCACCTGTTCTTTCCTTCACTCTCCGCTGCTTTCTTCTATTTTCTCCTTTCTCTTCCCGCGCGGATCTCGAAGAATCGGGATTCTCTTTCTGTTCCCTTTGTTTCGCGAGCATTATTGCTTATTCGGGGCTCGATGGACGCGCGATTACGTCGGGTGCGATGGTAATTGATCGATTCGGGAGGTAGACGACAAAGTCGGGTAATGAAGAACATGAAAACAAATCACTTTTTTTTGAAATTAAAATTAAAGCGATTCTAAACAGTTCTGTACAATCAGAGTTTAATTCGGGGCACTAGAGAAGGTAAACAAAACTCAATTGTTAGAAATTTATTTTTGACAGAGAATTTTTTAATGTTTCGATTCCAGAAAAAACGTAACCACCGAGGAAACTTTTTAACTTTTTTTTTTTCAATTTTGAACTTTTCTTTGAATAACACGTGTGTAAAATTTCGTCAATATCGGCCTAACTGTTTCTGAGAACAGTGTGCCTTTGTACCAAAAACCTGACTTTTCAGGAGACGCAGAAAACTAAAAGTTTGTATTTTCCGCACGATTCTCGATATAAATGTTATCTAATCGTATTTCTTTTTATCAAAATCGATTAAAACACTGTTTTCTTTTTTATAATTTACTGTTTCTTTTACCCTGGAAAACAATATTCCATAGGTGTAACCAAGGTAACCGAGTCTCCGGTCTCCCGCAAATTTGACTGTCACTGTTTTTTCTCTGAGAAAGTTGTCAGTTGTGTTTCTTTATATTTTGTACAGCTTTATCGCATTTTGTTTTTACCTTTTTTGTGACAAAAAACTGAATTTTTTTCAAAATTTTTCAAATTAAATTCTGATTGCACAGAACTATTCGGAATCGCTCCAATTTCAAATTTAAAAAAAAAAAGTGATTTTTGTTCATGCTTTGATGTTCCAAGCCTCTTAAGAGTGCGTACAATCCAGTGAAGCATCTTTGGAAATGAAAAAAAAGGTAAAACTATATTTCGTACATTAGTAAATGATTTTGTATTTAACAATACATTTTTTAAAAGGGAATAAAAATAACGTTGGCTGTGTTACTTTATTATTAACAACCATGATCCCTCGTGAATCATTTTGTGAAACAAATTTTGCTTTAATGTCTATTCGTGTGCCTATCGTTTCTCCTAGAATAAACAGTGTTTGTTGATAAGTACATTTTATATCTAACATTTTCCAACGAGAAAGACACGTTTGTGTACAATCTGTTAAACAAATTTGTTCCAATATTCCAATTTTCATGATTTTGCAACAATTCTAATAAATGTAAATTAATTAAAAAACATAGCCACATAAATATACATTAAGAACAAAATTTTTATTTCTAATTCAGACAAAATGGATCACAAGATGATCACCTTTTAAAATATCTATCTTTAAATACAAAACATTTATTATCCTACGACTTATAGTTATTCCTTTTTTTAATTTCTAAAGAAATCTTCCTTTTCAGACGTTCACATTAACGTGTATCCTTATTGTGGCTCTCTTTATGAACCTCGACACCTCAATGTGTCATTTTCCTGGATCAAAATTTTATCTTTTGTATCTCTGTTACTATCTGTCTATTCACGATTGCATATAAACTGTATGCACAGCTATCGCGATTCATGTTGTCCAACTTTTCGTCGCGAAAAATCGTTCTAGGAAAACTTACAGCCGAGTTCGTCGAAGAATCTCATCTGTCTATCCGAATCGATAGCGTTTTCCATCGAGGTTTCCTTATCCGCTAAATCTGGAATCAAAGCACGTAATTTCATTAATAGACGATAAGCGGAGAACGATTATCATATTTAAATATATAATTATATGGTCGTGTATAATTTCATATTATTATGATTACTATTAAAACTATCATTGCAGTAACCTTAAAATAAAAGTAAATAATCTAAAGACGAAGAAAGATAATATACAATACACGAAAAAAATAAAATATATCAGTAATTTGTTTGGTTTAAATAATTTTTTTTACTTTTCTTTTGTATATATTCCCTAGGGGTTCTATATTATATTCAATTTGTTGAAATCGATGGTTTTGTCATTTATTAATCTTTTCAACTATTTACCATTATAACTATTATAACTATTTACATATGAATATTTATCAATTTTATTATATTTTCGCGGTGGTTTCTTTATAAAAAAAAAGTTCAGTTCCCTGTTGACCAAACTTTCACAATGACACAAATTTCAAATTATCAATTTCATTCAATTTATAATTAAATGAATGTAAACTCCCACTTTTCTCGTGCTATTGTTCATCGAAGATAAGGTTCAAGTTCCTTCTTTTACTAAATGACAGGTTACTTAGAAGGAATTAAGGTTACGATGAGACGGAAACAATTTGCTCTCTTTCTCCGTTAAAACTCGTCTAATATTCCGTAGGAAAGGAGACAACTATTAATGTATTAGACACATTCCAACAGGGGACGAGAGAAAATTGCTTTTATCTCGGTATAGCCTCAACTTTCTCCGAATAATACATCCTTTTACAAAAAAAAAAGGAACTTCCTTCTTTACCTGGTTGAACATTAAATAAATTTCACCAGAGGAAGTGGGAGAAGTTACTTTTACTTCGTCGCAGCCTCAATAGAACCTCCAATTCGACCAATTTGAATTCGAATTATACAGGGTGGGCCAAATAAGTGTAACAAGCCGTAACTCCGTTATCGGTACATTTGCAGAAAAATATCAAAGGAAAAATGTGATTGGTTTAAAGAGTACTACAATCGTAGGAGCATATTTTTTTCATGAATGTAAGAGTAATTGGGTTGTCTAATAATTTGTATAGTGTATATCCATGGTAGTCAAAATTTGAATGTGTTAAATTTAAAATGATAATTGTAAGTAGATATTATAATGGTATTTTTTGTATTAATAATATATTTAAATATAATTATATATATATATATATATATATATATATATATAATAATATAAAAATTATATTAAGAAATTCAATTACTTATTTAAATATTTATATATTTACGTATGATTTTTTTATTGAACGGATTGGATTCGAATTTATATTTTTTGGATGAATATTTATTCTTATGGATTATTATTTTTAAGCGTTATAGTAATTGGATACATTATTACGATTTTGAATGATGCATGTCCATTAGGTAGTTGCATTATTTTTTTAAATGGAAATGCATATTTTCTATCGCATAGATTGAATCTTTTCGTGGTTCTATGTACAAAAATATTATGGTAAAGTGGTTTAATAATCATTAGTTCGCGAAATATATTAAATAATCTTCTGTAATGAAGACGTTCACATATATAGAAAAAGTATGGTCCTACAAATTATAGTAATCTTTGAATCATTCATATTTTCATATTCGTTCATAGAGAGTGATTCTTATTCAAGGCAAGGGATTCCCCAGAATTGGTGAAACAAGAATCGAAACAACAATTTTTGTTTAAATCGTAGAGATTATCTATTCTATAACTCCTGGCCAATATTTTTGTAAATAAATAGAAACCAACAAATGGAATTTAAAAAAAATTGTAGAGAGAGAGATCTTATCAAAATAACAGTTCAACGAGTATCCGTCATTACTTGGTGAAACAAGAATCGAAACAACAATTTTTGTTTAAATCGTAGAGATTATCTATTCTATAATTCCTGGTTAATTTTTCTTGTAAATAAATAGAAACCAACAAATGGAATTTAAAAAAAATTGTAGAGAGAGATCTTATCAAAGTAACAGTTTAACGAGTATTCACCATGGCTATCAAATCCTCCAAAAATGTTATAGCCATCATTTGACTAATTTATTCTGCAATTTATCTCGACCACTGCAGACACGCCACTATCATTCCTTTCTGCTAAGGTATACTCACCAAAATTGCCTAAATAACGATCATTCCTCCTTTCGGCGGCACGACAGTACAGTCCAATGAAGAGCAAGCTGAAAATCGATCGTGCAAACGAGCTCATCTCTTTTCCTTGTTGGTGATCTATGGCGATCAACGATGCTTCGACTGCTTGTCGACGTCGTTGCTGCTGTCGCCATTCACCGACGTCGCAGGAGCTCGCCAAACTTTCATGGGGCTTCCAGTTTTCCAACGGAGAATCCTCTCTCTCTCTCTCTCTTTCTCTCCCTCGTCTTCCGATTTATCGGTGACGTTTACCAAACCGTATGCACCTCCTGCGATTTACAAGAACAGAGAAACCGCGGTAGAAAGTGCTGTTGGCGATACATCGTCGTCAAAGTGATTCATCTTCTTTTCGTTTGGCTCCAATGCGATTTCGATAGACCGCATCCCTGTGTTCCTCGTCGTGGTTGGCACGAACTGGTTAACGCTTTACTTGACCTATTCATAGGCTTTTCAATGCCAGTGTTTCTATTATTTGTATTGTTGGTTAGTGGACTGGTCGAAGGAAGAATGAGTATCGAGGAATTTGATGGCATACACGAGCCTCGACGTT